ATAGGTTCCCACTCGGAAATGCATGAAAGAATATAAGTGAACGTTTGAAAATGTATTTAGAAGCCTAGTAAAAAACATTTCGGTGTGCAAAATTTTTGAACACCGAAATGTTTTTTACTAGGCTTCTAAATACATTTTTAAACGTTCACCTATATTCTTTCATGCATTTCCGAGTGAGAACCTATCTCATTTTGTACATACAAACTGCAAAACTTTTATATTAAGCAAATATTGTTATGACCTGACGCAAGAAGCCGGTAAAAAAACTGTAATTTTTTAGCTTTTCTTCGTTTTTAACATAAACTCGTGAAGTCTCATCTTTGTTTCGATGTGCACTTAAATCGTGGAAAAGGATTTATTATTCTATTCAACTAAAAAAAAGATTTCAATGTGCAAAATAATAATTTTTGGTCGGTAAAACAGACGAGCTTTTGGATCCCCTTAAGGGGATCCTAAAGCGACGGGCGAACTCCGACGGGTTAGCTCCCTCATCTAAACGTAACTAAAAGTGTCGGTATATTAATAACGCTTTATAGTTACATTACCGATATCATTATGTAGAGTAATTGTCAAGGATATGTGCATATTTTGGAAAGAGCAATAAAATACAAGCTTTTCGCATTGTGTTAAATATGTAGAGACAGAAAATATGTTGGATTTCTACTCTATTTCTGTTCTATCGTCTCGTAGAAGCAACGACTTTTCACAGATATCTGTTTGTGTCGCATACATATATTTTGAATACAAATCTATAATATTGCTCATATTATCTCTTTTGATTTTATCATGATGTATATATATGTATGTATATATGTATATACACACACACACACACACATACACACACACACACACAATTATGTACATGTTATATGTATAACAATTATATCTTAGTTTGCTTGGTTACAATTTATGCAGTACAGTTCGAGAAACTTGAACTAAAATATATTATATATGGATGTAAATATATTATACATATACCCAGATAACAAAATACTTCTACGGTACTGGTACAGTGAGCGAACGTCGTACTCTGCGTATCAGTACCGTAGCTATCACGTACGTGCATACCGTAGGCGTACGTTACCAATACACCGTACTGATACGCGGTACCGCTACTGTAGCGCCACGGTGCGCTTGATATAGAGTTAATGAGCGTACGCTATACTCTCACAGTACCAGTAGAGTACCAGAACGAGAATGCATTTTCGTACTGACTTCTTTCCCCTTTTTTTTTCATCACGCTCTTTTTTTTATTATTAAAGGTTATATATCAAAATTATTTTAATTGTAATTAAATTATAAAGAATTTATTCATTAAAATATTTCAGTACATATATATAATATAATAGTACATATATATAACAGTAAAATAACATCAAAGTTATAATGTCCCACTCAGCAATGTAATTATAAAGTAACATTATGCCTTGTACATAACATTTACATGTTGAGTAGGAAATTATAACATTTGATATTATGTTATTACTGTCACTTTGTGTTTGGAATGTATATATGTGTATATGTATACATATGTATATATGTGTATATAATTTATATAATTAAAAAATTCTATATGTAATTAAATTAAAATATGTATATATATAAAATTTATATAAAATATGTATATAATTAGAAAATTATAATTAACAAGCTCCCTCCGTGTGCTGGGTTTCTTCAAGTTCGTTGGCGTTTTCAGCTTTCTCCTGGATGTCCTCGAATCCTGTAGTATCCTCTTCCGGGTTGTCCATTCGCCGGCGTCGAATAATTAATAACAATCATATTATAAAAAAAATTATTAAAGGGAAAAGGCCCCATCCCCGCCTTTTCCTGTGAGGCACAACCAAACAATTTGCCCCTCCATATTTTACCCTGAAAAAAGAAACAAATAAATTAGAGGTGAGAACGGTCCCGCCCCGCTGTTCTCTGTGAAGCACATCCAAATTTGATACTGCTTCTCCAAGGTAAAACAAAAAAAAACAAAACTTACTACTTAACAATAATCTGGTGAACTGCTGAATAGAATTAATTTACCAGTCTTGCCGTATAAATCTGGAATAATGAAATAAATTGATTTATTATAGAAATTACTATTTTTTTATTTATTT